AATACTAGGGCTGGGAATGTAGCCCAGTGGCAGTTATTGTCAAACCTTCTCAAAGTTTTGAGTTTGATTCCCTAGCACTGCAAAATCAAACAAAATGAAAAACTAAAGCAATTCAGAAAATAGACAAAGCATATAGAGTTAAAAACATCCTAAAATCAAATATTTGGTGAAAGAATTATATTAAGATTATAAAAACATTTCACACACATTTTGTATATATACATATATATGCATAGATCCTAAATTACAAATTATATAATATGATTAAAAGACAATCCAACTATTTTACCATGGGGAGATTTGAATGGAAACTTCATAGCTATTCAAAAACCATACAGATTTTTCTCAGACAACGAGACAGCAAGACGAAATTGAAAAGAAAACCTAGGGCTTGTGAGATGGCTCAGAGAGTGAAGGTGCTCACCACCAAGCCTGATCATTCGCTCAAGTTTGATACCCAAGCCCCACATGGAGGAAGGAGAGAATCAACTCCCACGGGTCGTTCTCTTACCTCCACACATACACTGTGGCATGTGCATGCCCGCCACACACATATAGGGGTGCACACTCACTAATAAATGAATAAATAAATAAATAAATAAATAAATAAATAAATAAGTGTGATCTAAAGGGGGACCATGAATTTTCCAGGAGTAATTGTGCTGTATAACAGCCCCCCAAAATGTATGTGATCCTATTTCTCCAGGGCCTTACCAGCATTTAGTGCCATCATCTTGTTCCTTGCACTCTGACAAATGTGTAGTGATATATCACTACAGTCTTATTTTGCACTGCTTGGAAATGTCAGGCACCGTTTCCTATGCGTACTTGCCAATGCGTCTCCTCATTCCTGGGCTGCCTCACCGTGGCTGTAAGTTCTCAGTAGTGCTTTCTGAATCCGCAGAGGCTTCTGTGCTTTGAAAATATTCTCCCAGGTTGTTGCTTTCTCTGAATGCTCTTAGTAGTGTCCTTTCCAGAGCGAAGGGGAGTTTTCTTCTAGATTTGAAGACGTCCAATGGATCAGCTTTTCCTTTCAGATTCATGTTGAGAGAGAAAATTAATCGTCAGGAATTGAGTCCAGGTGAGGAGGTTGAAAGGCAGCTATGCTAACCACTACCCCACCAATGCAGCTTGGCTTTGCTTCTTGTGAATCAGGTTTCTGATGGCAAGTCTAGCAACTCTTCGCAAGTCCCAACATTCTGAAGATTTTATCCTGTTTTTATTCTCAAAGCTTTAGTTTTACGTTTTCATTTAAGTTCATGATCCATTCTGAGTTAATTTTTGTATAGGGTGAAGTATATAATATATAAGCAAGGGGATCTTTGTGTGTGTGTGTGTGTGTGTGTGTGTGTGTGTGTGTGTGTTTGATTCCATCATCATGTATGGAAAACTATTTCCTCCATCAAATTTCCTTTGCACTTTTGCCCAAAACCATTTGATATGCTGGGTTTTGTGTTGTCTCCCACTGGCCTGTGATTGTCCCTCCAGCTGCACCATGCCTTCCTGAGTCACAAGGTCTCATAGCAACCCTAAACGCCAGGTAGAGCCATTCCATACACTTCAGTTTCCCCCTACAATTTGGTCCTACGCTGGTTAGTTTTGGACAACCTGTCACAAACCTAGACACCTGGGAAAAGGAACCTCCGTTGAGATGTTTCTTCCACCAGATTGCCCTATAGGCTAACCTGTAGAGTACTGTTTTATTCATGATTTCTGGGGGAGGTCCCAGATCACTTTGGGTGGTGCCACCCTGGGAAGGTGGCCACGGGCTGGGTAGGAAACGTAAGTGAACAAACCATGGGGAGCAAGTAAGTAAGCAGTCTCTGCTTCAGTTCCTGCCTCCAGGTTCCTTCTCTGAGTTCCTACCATAGCTTCCATTGAGGATGGCCTGGTACCAGAAGCAAAATAAACCCTTTCTTCCCTCAAGCTAGTTTTGGCAGTGTTTTTTAGCATAGCACACGAGAGTGAAGTCAGACAACCCATTGGCTATTTAGAAGTATGTTGTTTACTTTCTAAGTGGTTGGAGACTCTCCTCTTATAATTCTGTTATTATAAGCCAGACTTGTTGGCTCGTGTCTGCCATTCTAGCAAGCAGGAGGCCGTAGCAGGAATTACTGTGAATTTAAGACCAAGCCTGGGTTCTATAGCAAAACCCCATCTGAAACAAAAACCAAAATTCCATTACTAAGTTTTTACTCTGGCTAAACTGTGGTAAAAAACAATGCAACTCTTTTCAGCTTTATTTCAGGTTATGTGGTCTCTTCTTGTACATGTTCTGTAGTACTTTAAAAGAATGTGTGCTCCAGGGAGAGCGGCATCTATACAGATCGATTTAGTTTTGTAGTTGGTGTTACTGCGAATTTCTCCTACATCCTTACTTGTTTTCCGTCTAGTTGTTCTAATAACTGTTGGGAAAGGGATGGTGGTGACTCTGCTGCCATCATAGATTTATCTATTTCTCCTTTCCATTTTATCATGGTTTGCTCTACTGTTTGGAGGATACACACTCACATTTTGATGTCTCTTTGGTAAACTGACCCTTTCCCCATCAGTTAACGTCCCTACAGTTTTCTTTACTCTGATACCTACTGTGCAGGACAGTAATGTAGCACCACCCACTCTTTCTTTAATGTTTGCATGAGAGAGAGAGAGAGAGAGAGAGAGAGAGAGAGAGAGAGAGAGAGAGAAGATGGACAGAAAGACAGAAGAGGGCATTACATGCCCTGGGTCTGGGCTTCCAGGTGGTTGTGGACTGCCTGAGGTGGGTGCTGAGAATTCAACTCTGGCCCCTTCTCTATCCCTTATAAATGTTCTTACCATTTTCAGTATGCAGGTGCTTTGAGTTCTTGGTTCAATTTATTCCCTGGTTACTTTTTAACTGTTGGATCCCATCCTATTGTAACAGTTAATGGTCAAAAAAAAGGAGTTGTTTTTCCTGCCGTGAGACACATAACAGTAATGGGTCTGACCAGTCATGGACCAGAAGCTCAAAAATATATGTGCAAATCAAATGCTCTCCCTTTGCTTTCTCTACCTGCATGTTGCACAAACTGTCATCCAGCTTCTGGCAGTGCTCCTTCCTCATTTTCAAATGCTGGAACATCAGCTTTGAATGACCATACCTGGCTAAAGCTTTTTTTCTTTTAAATTTTCTCAAGTTAATGGGTCTGTGGGCATGCTTGCATGTGTGTGTGTGCATGCATGTGCATGTGTGTTCATGTGTGTATGGCATGTGTAAGCAGGCGCCCTTAGAAGTCAGAAGAGAGACAGAGACCCACACCGGAGCACTGGACTGAGCTCCCAAGGTCCCAATGAGGAGCAGATGGAGGGAGAACACGAGCAAGGATGTCAGGACCAAGAGGGGTGCACCCACCCACTGAGACAGTGGGGCTGATCTATTGGGAGCTCACCAAGGCCAGCTGGACTGTGACTGAAAAAGCATGGGATAAAACCGGACTCTCTGATCATGGCGAACAATGAGGACTGATGAGAAGCCAAGGTCAATGGCAAGGGGTTTTGATCCTACTTCATGTTCCGGCTTGGTGGGAGCCTAGCCAGTTTGGATGTTCACCTTCCTAGACATGGACGGAGCGGGGAGGACCTTGGACTTTCCACAAGGCAGGGAACCCTGACTGCTCTTTGGACTGGAGAGGGAGGGGGGGAGGAGTGGGGGGGGGAGGGAGGGGGGGGGGGGAGAGGGGGGGGAGGAGGGGGAGGGAAATGGGAGGCTGGGAGGAGGCGGAAACTTTTTTTCCTTTTCTCAATAAAAAAAATTAAAAAAAGAATATCTATCTCACCCAGACTTCAGAAAAAGAGAAAGCACATAATAAAAGAAAATATGAATCAAAAAAAAAAAGTCAGAAGAGGATGTCATATTCGCTGGAACTGGAGTTTGAGGCTTCCCAGCATGAAATCCAGAAACTAAACTTGGATGCTCTAAAAGAGCATAAAATGCTTTTCCACTGAGCCATCTTTCCAGCCCATCTTTTCTCTTTATAAGATAATTCTCATGCACCTTGTTCTTGTGATGTAAAGCTGTCTAAAACACCAATATACTTTCACTATCTTTCTTCAGTCACTTTTCAGTAACGCTTTCTAATGAAGCCTTGACATTTTGAGTATGTCTGACCATACTTAAGCCTGAGGATTTAACTGCTTTCTTGTGATGGTCGGATCACAGAAAAGGAGAAATAAATGTACTTTACTGTTAGTTTGTGGTGAAAGTCCAGGTTACCCCCTTGACTCCCTTCCACATCTGAGGAAGGACTACTGAGTAGGAATGAGGGCTGTGGGTTCCCACGCAGGCTCCATCAATACCCCCCTGCTTATAGAACAGCTTCCAAGTCTCCTTCCTAAAGTCTTCTGGCACCATGAGGGGAAGCTGCCTCTTTCCTTATTGGAAGTACTCAGAGTCCTCTTTTCCAAGCATCTTCTGATAACACTTGGTGGGAGGACTGGAACGTGTCGTTATAACCTTGTGTGGGTAGAAGTCTAGGCTCCTGGCTAGAGTGTTTCTCTAGTGTTTGGCTGGAGTAGAATTATGTCAAAAAATATGCCTTTTGAGGCTACCCTGAACCTTTTTCTCTTCATCTGCAATCAGTAGCAATTCCAGATAGGTGTCTTTGTAACTCCAATTCTAGACTAGATAATACAAAGAGAAAACCCAAGGAATCTACCATCATGCCATTTTGTAGGCTCCAAGATTTCTAAATAATCTACTTTCTCTCCATTTATCACAGTATTCCTTTTTAATCTTTTTCTTTAATAACTTCTTTATTGACTTTGGGAGTTTCACATTATGTACCCCAATTCCATTAACTTCCCGGTCTCCCTGCCATGCTCCTCTCATCCGTTTCATGAACCCCCATATAAGGAAACAAATCAAAGCAAACAAAAGCAAAACAAAACCAAAGAAACAAAAACCCACAACAAAAAACAAACAAAATACACAACAATAGAAAACTCTCTTTGCTTCTCCTTCTTTCCTGCTTTTCCAGCACCTCTTCATCCATCCTGGGGGCAATGGAGGCTTCAGTGTGCCCAATAGTACACCTCTTTGTCCCGTAGGTTTTACTGGCAAATGTTCATTGCAGTGAGTCACTGGTCTGGTTCATGGCCTCTGGTTTCTGATACACCATCATCACTGGATCCTCACCGGAACTCCTCTGGGACTCCTGTGGCTGCCCCAGGTATGGAGATCTTGCGGGTATCGTTCCACAGGACCAGTCTCTTCACCAGCTCCAGCCGGTCCTAGATGGATGGGGTAGGTGCTAGGGTGGGTCAACCCAAGGCCCAGCTGTGGGCCTGGATAGTAGTCAAGTCGGTCAGTCCAGGCCCCTGGGCTCACCCACTTTGGCCAAGTGAATGGAGTCAGCTTCCCTACATTCGTGCCCTCAGGGTCGGTTCACCCTGGCCTGTGGTGAGGGGTGGGGGCCATCTGTCTTCTCCTCATGCAGGGGCAGCTCTCTCGCTGCAGTGTCCAGGGAGAGGCCAGGCCAGCTTTCCTAGGGCCAGCGAAGGGCGTGGCCAGCTCAACATGGCCGTCTGATTTTCATCTCACATGGTTCCTATGGCCTCCTGAGGTGACCCAGACCACAGACACCCACACCCACCCCAGCTGTAGCTGAACCATGGACCCAGACATGGCCCTCAGCAGCAGCTTGGGCCTGGTTGACATACTGGCTCTGGGTATAAGGACTGGACACTCAGGTAGGAATGGTTGTAGCCCTAAGCTTGGGCCTCTATATGACCTTTGGTGGCAAAGCAGGACCTGGACTTCGGCATTGATCCCACCATGGTAGAACCATGGACCCCAACATGGTTCTCAACAGTGGCTGAGTCTGGATGTCACCACTGCCCCAGTGGCAGTATTGGCCCTGAGACACCAATATGGCCCTCGATCTCTGGTGTCTATATGGCCTTCAATGATAACAGGGTCATTGGACATTAGTACAGACCCTGGCTGCAGTAGGGCCATGGACCCTGACATGGCCTGCAGCTACAGCTCTGGCCCAGACACCATCATGACCTTGTGTAGCAATAAAGGCCACTCAGATCTGGATGCTTCCTAGCCCTTGGACACAAGCCTGGACTTAGATGGTTGATCTGACCCTGGGCATCCTCATGGCACTTGGTGGCAACAGGTGTCCCATACATCAATCCATACCCTGACAGCTATAGGGCCATGGACCCTGACATGACCCTTAGCAGCAGTCTGGTCCCAGATGAGACCATATCACAGTATTCTTATTTTTGTCTTTATTAGTAGCAAGAGTTTTTAGTTGTCATTTGTGGGAGAAATAGTGAAAGGTGTGTGCATCCCACCTCCTCAAAAGCAAAAGTTCTAAACTACTTTTAAAAAATGTTCATTCATTTATTTGTGCACACATTCATGCGCATGCATGTGCCTGAAGATCAGGACATGTTGGATCCTCTGGAGCTAAAGCTACAGGCAGTTGTGAGCCGCCTGACATGGGGGCTGAACAACAGACTCGGGTCCTCTGGAAGAACAGCAAGGACTCTCAACCACCGAGCCATCTCTCTGCTCCCTGAACTTCCTTTATAAATAATTAATTAAAACAATATAGACTGTTGTAATTTGAAAATGTCCACTAAAAATTCATATGTGGGAACCTAATGCCCACATATGGCAATGTTGAGGAATGAAGCCTATTGAGAGGTTTTTGGGTCATAGGGCCAAAGACCTTATGAATAGCTAGTACCCTTCCTGCATGAGCAAGTTCTCAGTTGCGTGACTGATTAGTTACTACAAGAGTAGGTTGCTATAAGACAACCTGCCTGCATTCTCTCTCTTCTGCATGCATGTGATTCCCCTTCTCACTTCCCTAAGCTGAAACAGTACGGTCCTTCACCAGAATCCCAGAAGATTCCAACAGCACGCTCTTAAACATCCCACCCTATACAACTGTGAGATACAGTCAACCTCTATTCTTTACAAATCAGGTGCTCTGTTCCAACATAAAATAGACACAGACCAAGATAAAAAAAAAAAAGCATCTTATTTCTAAGAAAACTGAAGCTCTGTGGTAGAACACTTGCCTAGCATGCACAAGGAACTACATTCATTCTCCAGCATTGCAAGAAAAAAAAAATGATTGCCCTATCCCGAACCTGCTAAAAGAGAGTAAAGGATTAGAGACTTGAAACCTACATTTCTATCAGTCACCCCCTTTCCACCAAGATAGTCTAATAGACCCTAATCTTTGAGATTCTCCAATCTCAGTTATCAATAAAATTGTCGAGGGTGAAGATTTGTAACAGGGCTGGAGATTGGCCCTTGGGATCTTATCAGCATTAGCCAGAGCTGTCTGGGCACACTTGTGCAACCAGCCACCAGCCCCACCCCTAATTATCCTCACAACCAGAAATAAAAGAACGTCCTCACGTAGGGCTCAGAAAATGTCACTAGTTCTCTATCCAATTTCCCTGAACTAGCATGCTCATAAACCTATGACAGATAGTGAAACCAGTCTGCCAACTTTTGCTCCCAGGGAGTCCCAGTGTACATAAGCTCTTTGATTACACTGTCTCCTGGAGTTCTCCAGTGTATTGACACTCTCCTTCCCATTTTAAAATCTACGCCCAAACTTGTATAACCTTGAGCTTTTATCACTTCTCCTAATCTCCAAACTGATGAAATAAAATTATGTCCAACAGTAATTTAGTTTTCTCGTTTGCTCCTCGATACTGAGAGATGGAAGTAATTCGTCTAGACCATAGACGCACACCTTTTTGAGCAATGGGACACTTTTTTGATAAAGCATTAACTCACCCTGGACCTTTCTTCCTTTATCAGTATCTGGCCTAGACTCTCACTAGGAAAGGTGTGGTTAAGAACCACCAGCAGCACCACCACCAGAAGCAGCAGCAGCAACCACAGTGTCATCTACGAGCTTATTAAACCTGCAAAATCTTCAGACCCACCAAATCCCCATGTCTGGCACATACATGGTAAAGTTATACAAACACTGAGCCAAAGGTTTCAGTATAAAAATTTCTTCTTGACCAAAAATATAGTAAGAAAGTGGATCAGGGAAGTTCTGTACTTTATCAACCATAATTATGTTATCACCGATTGTATCCCTTTCAAAACAGCTTTTAATTTTTTGAAATGAAAATATAGTCACATTATTTTCCCTTCCTTCCCCCCAGCCCCTGGGCACTGTTTAAACAGGTTTATACCAGCCTCCTGCATTTGTCACTTGTCTTTAAAGATTTTTTCCAAACCTTACCTGTTAGAAGATTAAGGTAGTGGTTCTACCAGGTAAGAATCAATAAGGCTATTCTCCATATAGGGAAAGGTATTGGAGGCCAAGCAGTGTGCTGCTCAGGTCTCTGTCTCTGTTTCTGCTTCTCTGTGTATATCTCTGTCTCTCTGGGGGGGGGATGTCTCTCTCCCCACAGGCTGTCAAACAATTAAGTTATCAGGACGTCCTTATTCTAGGAAAGTAGACCATTCCACTTCTGCCCTTATAATTTATATGTGGTTAGCAGGTAAACATCTATGGTGTAGTGAAACCAGATACCACTTTAAAGTGACCCACCCCATGCCATTTATTTCTGGTCATCTCACCCTGTTCTTGCGATATTAGTAAAATACTATTCCATTTTTCTGCTTGAAAGGCTGCCTGACAGACTGTTCAGTGTCTATCACGAGACGCAGAGTCCATAGCAACGGTAGTTTCCATATCTCCTCCCAACGCTTGCAGTCCTTGGGATGGGGGTTGGAAGTATATCCTCCTAACTCCCTGCCATATGGACTTGAAAACTGATGTGCTTTTGCTGATGCCATCAGGGCTCCCTTTAGGAAGTTCTAGCAGTGAAAGCCTCTATCTGCTGAACCATAGATGTTAAACATCTCAAACAGGAATTGATGGCACATTATCCCTTTAGAGTTCCTCTTAGCTTTTGCAAGCCCTTCTTGACACCAAAAGCTCTTTTCGGGACTGGAGAGATGGCTCAGCTGTTAAAAACACTCGCTGCTCTTCCAGAGGTCCTTGGTTCAATTCCCAGCATCCACATGGTGGCTCACAACTGTCTGTAATTCCTGTTCCAAGAGATCCAACATTCTCACACAGACATACATGTAGGCAAAACACCAATGTACATAAAATACAAATAAATAACTTTTTAAAAAGTTCTTCTCTTCTGTCACTGATGCAAAGCAAATGACACACACACACAATACATGAGTGTTTATGGGATAAAGAAGAAAAACATGATTGGGTTCCAATTATTAACTAAGTAAAGTATACTGTTACCACTGCACTAATCAATTTCTAAACATTTAGAGATTAGCTATCTGTTTTTTAAACAAGGTCTTATGTGGCCCAGGCTGGCCTGGCCTCACTATGTAGGCCCAGGGTAACCTTAAAATTCTGATAAGTTTGCTTCTAGATCCTCTGTACTAGAATTACATGCATGCAAAGCTGTACCTATCTCAAATAATTAGACATTTTTCTAATTGTTTAATCATTTTTTTCATTTTCTTATGCTCAGGGGGTACACTATTTACTGTTTTCATCCATTTAATTTTATTAACATTTCCTTTATGTGACAGCATATGGTTTTCTGTGGTGACAGTTGTGTGTGCATTTGGAATTATAAGTCTTCTGCTGGTTTGGGTAAGAAAGAGCCATGCATGGCAGGAAGGACAAGTTAGCTGATGTCTTAACAACTGACAATATGCTCTGCTAAACACTAAGAAAATAGTGTCAAGGTTTTCAAATACAACTGTAAATCTATTTGTTTTCTCTGAATTCTACCACTTTCAGTTTCATGTATTTTGGGATATTGCTTGTTCGTTAGTTGGCTGTGTTTTATTGTTTGTTTGTTTGTTTGTTTGTTTTGACTTGATTTTTGTACTTTTTATAAGGTCATTCCTTTGTCAGGTATAAACATTTAAACACTTTTTTTCTTCTTATGAATTAACCCTGTGGCAGTTCTGTCCACCTGATGCAAACTAAAGCCATTCTCTAGATGATAAACCTCCCTCGAGGAACTGCCTTCATCAGCTTGGCCTGTGGACATGTCCATGGGGCATCTTCTTGGTTAACGATTGATGTGATAGAGAGCAGCCACTGTAGGCATTGCCACTCCTGGGCAGGTGGTCCTGGGTTGCATATGAAAGCATGCTGAGCAAGTCAGGAAGCAGCATTCCTCCATGGCATTACTTCAGTTCCTGCCTCTAAATTCCTGCTCTGACTTCCCTCAGTGACACATTGTCATCTGGGACTTAGAAGATGAAATAAAAAGCATTTCTTCTCCAAATTGCTTTGGTCATGGTATTTATCAGAACAATAGAAAGCCAACTAAGATAGAAGTTGGTAGCAGATGTTAGGCTATTGCTGTGAAAAACTATACCCAATTGAGTTGAGTGGGGGTGGGGTGATGATGAAGACTTTAGAACTTTGAGCCAGAAAGGCATTTGAATGCTGTTAATAGTACTGAACGATTAGTACTCCAAAACAAGATGATGGCTTTTCACATCGGAAAGCAGTGGCTCTAGGAGTATCATTGTCGCTACTTCTAGGCCTGGAACATTTAGCAGATAATATGACTGTATTCTCTTAGGTGCAACCCCTGAAGAGAGAATTGATATAGGAGGGTCTTCTATCTATCTGTTGCTTTCATTGGTCAATTAATAAAGAAAACTGCTTGGCCTGATAGGTCAGAACATAGGTAGGCGGGGAAGACAGAACCGAATTGTGGGAGGAAGAAAGCAGGCAGACGCCATGAAGCTCAGGCCCAAGATGGATGTAGGTTAGAATCTTCCCGGTAAGCCACCACCTTATGGTGCTACACAGATTAATAGAAATGGGTTAATCAATATGTGAGAGTTGGCTAATAAGGGGCTGGAGATAATGAGCCAGGCAGTGTTTAAATGAATACAGTTTGTGTGTTGTTATTTCAGGGGGCATAAGCTAGCTAGCCAGGCAGCTGGGAGCTGAGCTGCGGGAAGTGGCCCACCGCTCATATCACTACAGAGAGTGGTGCAGGAAAATTGTATGTATTCTGTCAATCATGTTTTAAATAAACGCTGATTGGCCAGGCAGGAAGTATAGGCGGGTCAACCAGACAGGAAGTAGAGGCAGGGAGAAGAGAACAGGAGAATGCTGGAAAGAAGGAAGCCCATTCCTCACACTCCTGCCCAGACTCCAAAGAAGCAACATGTGATCTACCCTGCTATGAAAAGTACTGAGCCACATGGCTAACATAGATAAGAACAATGGGTTAATATGAGCTACAAGAGCTAATAAGAAGACTGAGCTAATGGGCCAATCAGTTTACAATTAATGCAGACTCTCTGTGTGATTTTCTTTGGGGCTTGCCAACTGTGGGGAACTGGGCAGGACAGAAACCCCAACAAGCAGGCCCCTTCATGTTACAGAGAATCATGAAAATAGGAGAACTGGGAGATAACCCAGCAGGTAAAAGCACTTACAGCACAGGCCTGATGACTCAGTTCAATCCCAGGGACTCATGTAAACAGCCAGATGTGGTGAGATGCATCTGTAATCCCAGTGTTCTTAAGAAAAGGTAAGAGATGGAGACAAGGGAATTGACCGGAAGCTCATGAGCCACCAAGTCTGGAGAACACACACATTGATCATAACATACATATATGCACTGGGACATGTGTACCATTGTATACACATGTTCCACACACAAATAATTAATTAATTAAAATATGTAAATAGGCATCATGGTAACAAGAGCTACCTTCCTGAGTCTGGACACTAGACCAAGGAATAGTTTATGAACCAAGAGTCCCCATGAGCTCCTCACTCAGCTTGATAACTCATTTGATGTCAATTTTAGTGTATCTATACACAGATTCCTTACCCATAGGGTATCTTCAAGCAACCCACAGGTAATATATTATTTCATTCATAAACATTTTACTGTATTTCTCTAAGTGGTAAGTACTCCTTTTACTTCATAAGCCAAATATTGTTAATATACCTAGAGTGTCAAAAATTCTTCCTTAGTATCATCAAAGATATAACCAGCATTCAAATATATCTGATAGTTTCATAATTTTATATGCTTTTTATTCCTATCAGCATCTAAATAAGACCCTCATATTGCAATTTGTTGACATATCTTGTGGTGGTTTGAAAGAAAATGGCCCTCATAGGCTCATAGGGAATGGTATTATTAGGAGCTGTGGCCTTGATGGAGTAGGTGTGGCCATTTTAGAGGAAGTGTGTCACTGGGAGTGAGCTTTAAGGTCTCAGAAGCTCAAGCCAGGTCTAATGACTCTCTGTCTCTTCCTACTGCCTGCTGATCCAGATGTAGAACTCTCAGCTATCTTTCCAGCACCACATCTGCCTACATGCCACCATGCTTCCCATGGTGATAATAGACTAAACCTCTGATCTATAAGCCAGCTTCAATTGAATGTTTTCCTTTAAAGGAGTTGCTGTGGTCATGGTGTCTCTTCACAGCAATAGAGACCCTAACTAAAGCATGTCTTTTAAGTATCTTTTTCTATATGACTTTTTTTCTCCATCTGTGTTATGCATTGGAATTTATTGATGAAGGTGATAGTTTTTCCTGTAGAGTTTTTCACACTCTATGAATTTGGCCACTTGTACCCCAGTAGTACCTTTCAACTATCTTCATTGGGGGCCCTACAGAAAGGAGTTGGCTTTTCATATAGAACGCAATGGCTCTAAGAGTACCTCCGTTATTTACTGTCAGGTCTGAAATATTTAGCAGATACTGTGACCATATCTATCTATGTCCAGCTTGTTAATACTTCAGTTTTATTTGGAGCAAGATAATTTCATCTCTTTCTTGTGATGTTATCTCTTTCTGATGATCATTGCTGAAGTTCACAATTTCCTTGGAGGTTTCCAAATGGCAATATTTTATCATTGT